ATATCGAAGAAGGAGGAAAAATGAAGTAAATGATAATAAAATAAAGTACAAAAATAAATAAATGCGAGTTACAAAGTTAAATTGTGCATTACAGATATTTGTTGTTTTTATAGCCTTTTTGTTAGTCGAGTGAGTCAAGATACAGTTTTGCATCTATTACAAAGAGAAAGATCACGCTGTAAGAGTGTAAGTGAGCTAAAAGAAGTGGCTAACAAACCACTATCATGATGTAGTCAACTAGTTTTACTCCTTGTGTTACTATCATTCACATGTTGGCAAAAGAAATGACTAAAACTGTTAAAACTAGCTGTTTCTTGTTGATACAACATCCAGTAAATGTCAGTTTAATGTTAGTTTTGATCAAAACTTGGAGCGGCTGCAGAGGAACCATGAGCTGCATGTGGCTGCAGAGCTGCAGAGCCAGAACTGTACAGATGCTACATTTGCATCTTTATATGCATTAATGAAGACATTTTTGTTTTTACATGACATTAATTTCTTGTTTTTTTATAGGACTGTCACAAAGCTTTTAGGAATTTTTAATATGGAGGCTTTTTTGTGCAGGTAATATACTGTTGCATTAGAAGACAATATACCGGTAATTGGTTAAAAATAAACATTTGATTGCTAGTCACAATATAAATGATCTACGGAGGCTCATTCAGTTATATTGTGAACTCTTATAACATGGTGTTTTAGCTGGCACCTTTTACAAAACGTTCATTTGAGACGTACTTTCATAAACAGAAGCTTGAAATCTGCACGTTACAAGCATTTTGTGCCGTATAGAACGGAGTCTCCAAACAGTTTAGCTTCTGACTCCAAAAATAACAATAGCCATGACTTGCAAATATTGTGACCCGCTGTGTTTTAAAGTTTTTGTCAATGTCTCATATTTGTGAGGTTTTTGTAATTTTGGTTTTGTACAGAAGCTTCCGTACAAATGTATTTATCTCACTGTAAAACAACAACAACAACGCCTGGCTTCCTTCCAGAGTATTTTCTACAATGAATGTGATATTTTGCCATTAGAATCATTTATAAAGTAGCTAATTGTTTTTATGTACACGTTTAGAGGCCAAGCAACACATGCCTTCACAGAAGCACAAAATATGCTTCGATGTTATTGTGATAAAGTCACATAGTTTCTGTCTAACGGTGTCGAATCAGGTGGAGAACAGTTTCATGACAAAAACCACAGTTAATATCAATTTCTTTCTTGAAACTAGTTTTAATACGTCTTCACTGGATATATTTTATGGATAATTCTGTAGGAGATTTCTTTAATCTTGTTTGTAATCAAATATCTGTTCGGCACCCTTTTCCATGATATCCCATCAACAAACCCGTTCCAATGCATAACAGCTGGTCATGCTGTGATCTTCTGGGACAGGCCTCGTATAAGTTTATTACTTACAGGATGACCGGATAAACAAAATTTCTGTTGCTGCTGCTGATGGACAAGGATGTCAATGCTCTGATGGCCTTTAAAAATCATACACCACATGGGACCTTGAAGTTACGTTGTATTTTCTAAGAAATTCTTCATAGGTGAGCAGTAGGCCCTCACTATTGAATCTATTCAATATATATCAAAGACTATATCAATATACATTCATAATATGAGTTGACCCATATTCTGTTTAAACCAATATTCCAAAAATAGGGATTTGCGTTTATATAAAATGTCTTTATTATTCCAAATCAGACAGTTGTGAGTGGAAAAAAACATGTTTGTATTTGAGGGACCACGAGAGAGAGGATTAAACTTTGTACGTGCAGCGTTTATCCAGTTCTACGTAAATGGGTCATTCGGGCACTTCTCTAAAGATAAAAAAAAAATAAAAGAGTTGTGATGTCACGTCTCTCACGCGATCTGGAACGGGTGGGTGCTCGTGCTCGGTGCGATTGGGCCACGCGCTTTAGGGCAAGCCGATTTATCACGTAATAGGATCTTCAACCCATGCACAGTTTGGAGACCTGGCTGACTCAGTCGATATTTAAAATTGTGTAAACATTTTCCTTTCCAGGAAATATGGCATCAGTTGTATTGGTTTAATTTTAGATATTAAATATATATATAAATTTAGGCTATAAAATCTTTAGAACTGTAGCCAAAGTCCATCTAAACACTGTAAGTAGTGAAAACATAGCTACAAAGCCAAAGAGTTGTTAAAATTTAATCGTGGCAAAAACTAAAATAAGAATAAAAGTATGATAAAGCAGAATTCTAATATGAAAATGTATTTGAACAAATTGACGATATCTATTTTTGAGGAAATATTAGTAAAGTTAAATATTTTGAAGCACAAAAACCTAAAGTGATGGCATCCATTCTCTGAATGTGTTGAACAGTTTAATATATAATTGCTAAAATAGCTAAGTATATGCAAAAGTAATACTGAATCAGTATACACATAATAAGAATGTACATGTAGTTATCTGGAGCTAAAGGTTTGATACTGTACAAATAAATGGAAAAGTGATGCCATTTCTGTTAAAAATCCATCCATCCATCCATTATCTTTACCCGCTTCTTCCTTTTTTTGGATTGTGGGGATCACTGGTGCCCATATCCAGCAGTCACTGGGTGAGAGGCGTGGGACACCCTGGACAGGTTGCAAGTCCATCACAGGGACACACACAGGTGCTGGTCATAAAATTAGAATATCATGAAAAAGTTTATTTATTTCAGTAATTTCATTCAAAAAGTCAAACTTGTATATTATATTCATTCATTACACACACACTGATATGTTTCAAATGTTTTTTTATTTTAATGTTGATGATTATAACTGACAACTAATGAAAACCCCAAATTTATTATCTCAAAAAATTAGAATATTACTTAAGGCCAATTAAAAAAAAAAGGATTTTTAGAAATGTTGGCCAACTGAAAAGTCTGAACATGAAAAGTATGAGCATGTACAACACTCAGTACTTAGTTGGGGCTCCTTTTGCCTGGATTACTGCAGCAGTGCGTCGTGGCATGGAGTCGATCAGTCTGTGGCACTGCTCAGGTGTTATGAGAACCCAGGATGCTCTGATAGTGGCCTTCAGCTCTTCTGAATTGTTGGGTCTGGTGTATCACATCTTCGTCTTCACAATACCCCATAGATTTTCTATGGGGTTAAGGTCAGGTGAGTTTGTTGTCCACTTAAGAACAGGAATACCATGGTCCTTAAACCAGGTACTGGTAGCTTTGGCACTGTTTGCAGGTGCCAAGTTCTGTTGGAAAATGAAATCTGCGTCTCCATAAAGTTAGTCAGCAGCAGGAAGCATGAAGTGCTGTAAAACAACAAAGTCCATGCTCGATAATCCAGGTATACAACCCAACATTTTTCACTCAGGTCATCTGGATAGTTTCTTTTTTTTTTGTGTGTGCTGAAACGTTTCGCCTTCAATCCGGAAGGCTTCATCAGTCAAGGAAACACAACAAAACTGATTCTTCCTCCAACAGCTTACTCCAAAGTGGAACAAACCAATTTTGATTGTGACAAGATGGTCTCTTTGGTACACCCCCTCCTCCATTGGCGGCCCTCTTCCTTGTTGACAGTCATGTCAAACTGGTTGAAAACAACAAAGTCCATGCTCAATAATCCAGGTATACAATCCAACATTTTTCAGTCGGGTCATCTGGACAGTGCTCTAAAACTTCCTGGTAGACGGCTGCGTTGAACTTGGATCTCAGAAAACACAGTGGACCAACACCAGCAGATGAAATGGCACCCCAAACCATCACTGATTGTGGAAACTTGACACTAAACCTCAAGCAACATGGATTCTGTGCCTCCCCTCTCTTCCTCCAAACTCTGGGACCTTGATTTCCAAAGGAAATGCAACATTTACTTTCATCAGTGAACAGAGAACTTTGGACCACTCAGCAGTAGTCCGACGCTTCTGACGCTGTCTTTTGTTCAAGAGTGGCTTGACACAAGGAATGCGACAGCTGAAACCCATGCCTTGCATACGTCTGTGCGTGGTGGTTCTTGAAGCACTGACTCCAGCTGCAGTCCACTCTTTGTGAATCTCCCTCACATTTTGGAATGCGTTTGGTTTCACAATCCCCTCCAGGGTGTTGTTATCCCTATTGCTTGTAGAGTACACTTTTTTCCTACCACATATTTTCCTTCCCTTAGCCTTTCTATTAATGTGCTTGGACACAGAGCTCTGTGAGCAGCCAGCCTCTTTAGCAATGACCTTTTGTGTCTTGCCGTCCTTGTGCAAGGTGTCAATGGTCGTCTTTTGGACAACTGTCAAGTCAGCAGTCTTCCCCATGATTGTGTAGCCTAGAGAACTAGACTGAGACCATTTAAAGGCCTTTGCAGGTGTTTTGATTTAATTAGATGATTAGAGTGTGGCACCAGGTCTCTTCAATATTGAACCTTTTCACAATATTCTAACTTTCTGAGATACTGACTTTGGGGTTTTCATTAGTTGTCAGTTACAATCATCAGGATTAAAAGAAATAAACATTTGAAATATATCAGTCTGTGTGTAATGAACAAGTTTAATTTTTTGAATGGAATTACTGAACTAAATCAACTTTTTCATGATAGTCTAATTTCATGACCAGCGCCTGTAGAGACAAACGAGACAACCATTCACTCACTCACACCTAGGGACAATTGACAATTAACAATTAGCCTAACATGCATGCTTTTGGTCTGTGGGAGAAAAGCCACGCATGCATGGAGAGAACATGCTAACACCACCCAGAAAGGCCCTCGGCCGGGATTTGATCCTGCGACCTTCTGCTGAGAGGCAGGCTCTACCAACTACCATGCTACCAGTTTAAAATATTGAATGTAAAGAAAATAAACTATCTGAATATGTTTTTTTTTTACCAAAATGAAATTTATCTTGCCATAAAATGTAATATTTGTGTCCATCCTTAGTTTTACTTAATACCATCATTTGTGTCTAGAAATTGTGTACTTTAATTATATATTACAACGGCCTGCCTTAATGATCTTCCTTGCCAGTGGCCTCCTGCCATATTTATTCATGCCGGGCAAGATGGCGGCGGTTCAGAGTAGATGTTATTACTGGTAAACATATAAAGGCATTTTATTCAAATTATAATTGGCAGTCAGATACTTGTACACACGCGTTCGCACTGTGTGTCAACTGATCACGTAACAAGCGTCGAGGTCTTGTTTATTTTACACGTCTTGGAGGTTTTTTTCCCGACTAAATGTTCACGTTTCGAGTCGCTCGCTAACAGAGCAGCCAGCAGCCATCTATCAGAGCCAAGCCGCCGTCAAGTGTAGAATGGGGGAAAAGCTGGAGCTCAAGCTCAAATCGCCGGTCGGAGCAGAACCTGCTGGTTATCCCTGGCCATTACCAGTATATGTAAGTGTTAAACTTCGACACTCAGTCGTGTCATATTTGTGCTTCGTCTCTTGTTTTTGCCTTTGTTAGCTCCTGGCTAGCACTGGTTAGCAGAAGATGTGACATGCTGGTCGGGGGGACTTGTGTCTGGTCGGTGACAGTCACGGATTGTTTAGTGTGTGCTGTCATTAATGCTGCTTTAAATGGATAAAACTGTGCTTAATTACGTCACGGTAAGATTTCTAGGTGAGACATGATTGTTAATTTTTTAACTTGAGCTATCATTTTTAAGATTATTTCCGTCTAGCAATGCACATTAAAAGTCATAATGATGTTGTGCATGGCTCCTAAACTTGTTTTTTTATTTTTAGCTCTGGTTCAATAAGTGACATTTTGCAATCACAAAGTCCACACAGCAGCATATAGATTGTGTACAAGATGTACTATTACCTCCTGCAGTGGTAATATGTTCCTGTGGCATGTTGGATAGAGAAGTCACTAGCTCTCATTTCACTGATACGATGATGACAGTTTTTGTTTTTTTTACCTCAGTCATCATAACACTAAATGAGAAATTGTCATTTGCAATAGCAGTATTTAGACCTTAAGGGGTCACATTGCAACTATAAAATAAAAAAAGTTGTCCTGAACTGTATCAAATGGTGCAGTTTGAAAGAGCTTATGTGCAGGTATGCACCCACTGTAAACAAAGCACTTGGCTGAATCTTCTGAAAACCACTTGGACGCTTGAGGGCATGTGATTGACCTACGTTAGGCTGACCTTAGTAGGTAAGCAAATATGGAGGAATCGGACAAGCCTAGAATCACTGACGAGAGGTTTAGATGAAATTAATGAGAGTAAATCTGCTGCTAAATGTAAATAAAGCATGAGTATCAGTATCATGGAGATCAGGGATCAAGCAGGACAGTGGAGTATCAGTGCTAGGCATGCAGCTTTTGCCAAACTTCTGCCAGATTGGTAAGTTTAACTTTTTTTTGAAAACCTATCGACACACTTTACTCAAAAAATCTGAGCTTAAATACAAACCAGCTCATCAAAATCGTATGACTTTGTCCCAAACAGCTCGTCCATGGACGTCACCATCGTTGACCTGTTTTCAGTCACTGATCTTGCAATAAGTACCTTTTTAAACAGTTATATTGTTTAAATTTTTTTTTAAATATAATTTTCATTCATTTATTTTTTCCCAATTTGTATGTTTTCTTTTATGATTGTCTGCTGTTGTCATTTCTCTTCGTTAAAATCAGGTCTCTGTTGTAAATGAGTCCTCGAGGCTCAGTGGAACTAACCTGTATAAACAAAGGTTGAATGAATATGTTGACACTTTTACTGTTTTAAAGACTGTGTTCCCTGGCTCAATAAGATTCTTTAAATTCTTGTAGTGTTTTGTTATTCATTTATACAGTATCTCCATGAGTGAGATCAGCTGGTTGTCTGGTATTTTACACTCCAAGCACATGGCTGATACCTGATCTGGTGCAGTACTAGTCACGCTTGTCTACGGTAGCTCTATTTCCATGTCAGCATGCGAGCGCATGAACTCAGGAAGTTAACTCATCCAATAGAAATGAAAACTGAAACTGTTGCGAGTTCTGTGTGTGTGACGCTGTGCGTGTGCGTTTGAAGTTTTTTTATTTATGGTAGCTGTGGTGAGACACCCAGTGCTGACTGAAAAGAGCTAAATTTTCTCAGAATGTCTGGTTTCTTTGTAGTTCTCCTCTCCACCCACACTTCTCTGCCTCAATCTGGTTCTTTAAGTTTCATCTTTTTGTCTATTATCACCTTATTTCTTATCAGACTGAATGAGTTACTAGTTACTGAATCACAGTTGCCACCCAGCTACGTGTCTTGGCATTCGTTATTTTACAAATTTTAATGAATTGTATGGTCTGTGTATTTTGTGATAGCTGTTTGTTTATACTGAGACTAGATGTCATGTACTGAATTAGAAACGGGTGATCCATGTCGAGTTTGAAATATGGACTGCTCTTCTGTTTTCATAATGCTACTGACGCATGCTCAAAAATCGAGGTTGATAAATCTAACAGGGTTTAGTCAGATCATCTGGACAGGTCCTTTGTTGAAACATTTCATCTTGTATCCTAAAAACTTCTTCAGTTCCTCACTCTCTGTATCACAGAGCTGAACATAGGAGCCAGAGAGAAGGAGAAATCCCACACAAAACAGGCCCTGGAGCAATGTGGATATCCTAACTGGGCCTTCCTGAAAGCAGAGAAAAAAAAATCCCAAACAGGACTCCAACTAGCCATGGGGTGAAAAGGAGGAACCCAGACCAGTGGTCATTCCGTATGTTGCAGGAGTTTCAGAGAAACTGAGACGTTTATTTTCCAAACACAACGTCCCAGTGGCTTTTAAACCCCAAAATACGTTAAAGACTGGTTCATCCCAAAGATCCAGTCCCCCGGCACAAGCAGAGTAATATTGTGTATGCTGTTCAGTGTCAGGAGGGTGATCAGTCTTACATCGGGGACACTCAACAGCTACTGGCCAAAAGGATGGCCCAGCACAGAAGATCAACATCATCAGGCCAGGACTCTGCGGTCTACACTCATCTCCAGGCCAGCGGTCACTCTTTCAGGGATGAAGATGTGCACATCCTGGATAGAGAAGAACGATGGTTTGAGAGAGGAGTAAAGGAGGCCATCTTTGTGAAGGGAACTTGTTCATCATTAAACAGGGACAGAGGCCTCCGTGTTTGAATGTCCCACTCTTACAATGTTGTTATAGCAAGTATCACTCAGCCCTCTGTAAGTAGCAAGCAGACTTTAGAACACTAATGATCACTTGTTAGGCTGATGGTCCTCCTTTTGCTTATGAACATTTAGTTCTGGCTGTCACTAGTAAACTGGTTGATCCACTATGAGAAGGTGCTGCTTTAAGACTGAAGGGCCCACAGTACTCCATCTGAAGCCAAACAGTCGATGCACAGTCAGGTGGTTGCGGGACGTTAGTTTTCACACACACCTTTCTTAAGTTCATGAGACTCGGACACGGAGCTTCTCCTGCTGGAGTATATGTCACCATGCAGGTTTCTTTACCCCAGAGTCTCCAATCCATCCCTGCATCCGCTGTTTGGTCGCACATCTGTCATGAAGAAAGCACCACACTTTTCAGCAGACAGACTCCGCCATCTCTCCATCCAGGAGTTTTGGGTCATTTGATGGTTTTTTTTTTTTGGTCAAACAGCTGAATGTTCGAGTGCATTTCCGCATTGACAAACATGTTGACATTCATGCTCGGGCTGCTGTTGTTACAGCGTATTGTTTTCCATTATTAGTGTTTAGCGTATCCTTTAGTGCACCGTTTGGCATTTGTTTAGTGTATATCTTAGATCCTTATTTACTGTTTCTTTTATACTTTATATTTTTGGGTGTAACTGGGATCCTGTGTAGGGTACATAATCTCGTTCCACCTCATGCACCACATGTGATGGAAATGACAATAAAATTGACTTGAACTTGAACAAACACACTCACAAACTTCTGACCAGTCGCACAATACTTGGTGCATACGCTCAAGAAAAACTTCGGTCTGGGCCTTGTGTCGAGAAGAGGCGGGCGAAGCTGCTCTGAGAACAAAATGACGCAATTTTCGTTGCACAACTACGTCAGAGTTTTGAGGCTTTGAGTGGAGTATGCAGAGTTCTTGTGTTTGTTGCAGCTCCTCAAACTGAAGAAGTCTTTTGGATAAACGACGAAACGTTTCAACAAACGAACCCGACCAGAGGAGCTGACTCGAGTTTGTTAGGCTTAGTGCTGCTGCTGTTCGGCGTATAGTTTTGCACTATTAGTGTTTACCGTATTTCTTAGTTTATATTTTAGATCCTTATTACTGTTTCTCTTACAATTTTTATTGTTTTCTATTGTTGGATGTAACTGGGACCCTGTGTACACAATTTCATTCCACCTTATGTGTCACATGTGATGCGAATGACAATAAAGAACCTTGAACCTTGTGAGACTTCTTCACTCTTCTCTTGTCCATATGTTCAAGCCTGCAGGAAGATGTGAGACTACTCCTGCAGTCATTTTCTATTAATAGACTGCAAATATTTGTGCCAATAGTTTTTTCAAATCACGTTTATGGACCAAGTTTTACTTGTGTTGATTTGCTTTCTGGTAATGAAAGCTCACCCTTCACTAAGAATCATTCTCTACACCCACAGAGCTTAAAATTGGTTATCTCACCCACAGAGCATGAACACACTGCTGTGTGTTAATATGCATGTTGCTTGCACTGCCTGTCGGAGAACGAGGCCTGCCGTTAGAACCGGCCTCATTAAAATATGCTTTTTTTTTTGGTTTATTGATTTGGTTCATCCTGTATTTTAGTTTATTTTCTTTAAATCACTTCATCTGTAAATGCTTGCACATGAAGTCGTCCCCTGGTTTTATGCACCTCTTAGCCCATCTGGTTCTGGGTGCGGCCAAAACAAGCTTCACACAGTATAAAAAAAGGCTTAGCATTCCTTGAAGGGTTGCATATCACCTGCCACTTTTCATGCCAGATTTAAACTGAAATCATCTTGGGTTGCGAGTATAGAGTTATAATACCTGTTTTGGTCAAACCTTGCACAATCTCATTCGATATAGTAAAATCCCACGAGATGTATTAGTGTTCAGAAAATGCATTGAGGATTACTCTGTTACTGTCACGCCAAATTTAGCTCAATATCTGTCAAATTGATTGAGTTATAGCCAACTTTGTGTTTGCTGAATTTGATTAGTTATGGTTCTGGAAGCCATCTGGAATCAGGGTGGCTCAAACAGTTAATCAGTGATAGATGTGCATCTAATTATTACTTTCTGAAAGTTTCATTAAAATCCACTCAGCGGGTCATGACATTCTTTAGCAGACACCCAACAGTTAATGCCAAAGTTTGAAGCAAAAAGATTAAAGCAAAGTGATCCTGCGTTCACTGTAATTATATGAAGATGGCTCATTTACGTCAATTTATTTTTCACTGTTTACACAAAATGTTTCTTACTGGAAATAATCAAAAGTACACAAGCTGTCTTAGTCATTTGTTCTGGGCTACTCGTATCTAAAGTGGAGCAGTGGGAGGCGTAAAGCCCCCCCACACCCACTACTCGTCACGCTGCTGTGACAGGAGATCGACTGAAGAGGTGGCGTGTGGGGCGGAGTTGAACACGCATCAGTCAGAGCTACAGCTGAGAGAGAGGGAGAGGAGGGTCTTTCACCCTGGCATGGCAGACGGTGTTTATTTTTAGCAGCAGCCCTACGCTGGTGTTGCTGTGAGCAGTCTTTGTGAGAGCAGGTGACCTCCCCCCCGCTGCTCTCCTTTCACTTTGCTCTCACAGTCAGCTGAGTGAAGCTAGCTCTCACAGTCTGAGCTTCTGAACGTAAAGTTTCAAATCTGTGTTGCTTGTGCATTTTCAAAAAGGTTCAGAGACAATGTGCTGTTTTCAGCAGTGGAAGTTTTTGTTTTTGTGTGTGAAGGCATGCGATTTTGAGAACGTGCACGCCGCATGTTGTCAGTGAGGTAGAAGCTTGCATAGTAGTGACGGGCAGGATCAAGCAGGAAGATGGGAATTCCAAGACTGAGCTGCTAGCTGTGACTGCTGTGCCAAATATCAGGCTTCCCCTCCTTTCTGTGGCCCCTTTCTTTCTCTAGTTTGTGGTTTGAGTAACTACCCCTTTCTTGGCCTGTTGTCAGTGCTCTTACTCCCTAACAGATTCTTCTTGGCAATGTGCTGGGCTAGAAGACAGAAAGTGGGTCAGTGGGTCAGCTCAGGCATTGGGTTCAGGCTGACGGTGCTCTAGGTGAAACCTGAGCCCTGTTGCTCCCACAGAACTGATCAAACTTCTGCTAAGATTATGAACTACACATTTCCTGCATAGGACAAAAGTAGGTTGTTTCATTTTTTGCCTGTCACCAAAGGCAAACAGATGTAATTGCCTGAGTCTGTGCACAAATGTGTGCTTGTTTGTCTGTTAGCAAAATTCCTCATGAAGCAGTGGACAGATTTTATTGAAGCTCTCAGAAAGTACCGTATTTTTCATCCTATAAGTCATATGTTTTTTTTTTGCATAATTTGCATGCTCTGCGACTTATACACCAAAGCGACATATTTGTTTTTTTTCCCATATTTATAAATCAATTTTTGACTGAGATATGACCCTTTTCATTCATTCTGACTGAACATATTGAACACTACCATTTTCAGCCGCTAAATGGCACCAGAGTAGTATGGCATGCCGTTGTGTCATGTAGTAGGTAAAAGTGGCTATTAATGACACAATCGGCTTGCCGTAGCCATCCACCTTTGTCCAGCTCGCCTGGAGCAACCGTCAAGTCATCTTCATTTTGCTGCACCGGCGAAATGCAGCTAATTTGACCATTGAAGTGCATTTATTAAGTAAAAGTTCAACTGAGACACACTTTTACTGTAATGTCGAGCAAACAAATAATTGTTTTTTGGCGCTTAGCTTGTTAAATTTCTAAGAAATGCGCAGCATTCCTCCTTCAGGATTTCCTTCCTCTTCGCGCTCCTGGAGCACCGAGGCAGCACATACTTTTGAAAAACAGCTGATCTGACCATTAAAGTCCTTTTTATTAAGTAAACGTTCAACTGAGACAAACCTTTTACTATAAAGTCGAGCAAACAAATAATTGTTTTTAGGTGGTTATCTTTTTAAATTTGCACAGTGACTTGTCCCGTGCACGTTCTTACTTCTGCGTATCGGCTTTTGAAATGCAGCTGATTTGACCGTCAAAGTGCATTTATTAAGCAAAAGTTGAACCGAGACGCACCTTTACTATAATTTCGAGCAAACAAATAATTGTTTTTAAGTGTTAATCTTGTTAAATCCTTGTTAAAGTCCTCCCCTGCACGCTCCAGCGGCCGCCATTTGGCAGCCAATCGATTTTTGGCACAACACCGGCCAACATTTCCAGGTTATGGACTGTACTTATATAGCACCTTTCTATCTTATCAAGATACTCAAAGCACTTTACACTACAATCTGTGTCTTCATTTACCCATTCATACAGCACTCTAATAGATCTATACAAAGCTAATTGAACAAATCATTCTAAAGAGACTAATCAGTGCTTTAGATCACATTCATTCACCGATGGCACACACATCGGAGGCGACAAGGGGTTCAGTGTCTTGCCCAGGGACACTTCAGCATGTGACTGCTGTGGGGTTCGAACCCCCAACTCTTGCATTGGAGGACCACTGCTCTAACCACTCAGCCACAGCCGCCCCGGGTTGTCAGCGGTGACGCATAATAGATGCAACATATACGGCGAAGTGACATATTTGTTTTTTTCCACTTCATTAGACATATTTGGACTGATGCGAATTATAAGGCGGAGTGATTGTACCACAACTTTGGAACCAGCCTTATTCAAGATGGCCGACACAGCTTAGCGACCTTATTAAGCACCGAAATGAGTGTAACTCAGCCAGTATCACAGATACTGAGCTGAGATTTAGCGTGGTAGTAGCTGAGAGTCATCCCCAAAACATCCCCTGAGCACAAACTGATTGTGAGATCAATTTTTTTAAAACTTTACCAATATTTATTGGAGTCGTCCACATCCGTCTGTTGGCAAAATATCTTATGAACAATTAAACAGATTTATAGTGAAACTCTTAAAGTAATCATTGGCTGTCCTTTTAAAATTGATTACATTTGATCTTAGCCAACACAAAAGCGTCTCTAACTCAATGTTTTACAGATATTCAGCTAAATTTGTTGTGAGACTCATCCTTAACACATCCTTTGAGCATTAACACATCTCACAAAATCTTACAATATGGTATGACATCCTGCACAATGTCCTTTACAAGGTTTGAACAAAATGGCTATCTAATCTAAGCATGTCTTCAGAGATGGATTTTTTTAATGCAACTTCTGGGACACAGGGTTTCCGAGTAATTTTTCAGTCAAACTTTTATTAACATTTATGTCTCGTGTGGTTGTGTAGTTTGTCACATTTTTCTGCAATGACAGGATGAATTAAAGATAATGGAGGTTGTGGTCATTGCAGTTTAGTTGTGTAAAGGTGTAATTAACTCAATATCCTTGTTTTGCACAGTTGTTAACTTTCTTTTTGTTTATGCTGTTTTTATTTAGAGAATCTAATTACAGTTTATGGTCATTATGGTGTCGGTAATGAGTGATGCTGTTGAATTATGTGTCATTCTGAGGGTTTCATAATGACTCGTCTCTCCTTCTCTTGTAAGGATAAACACCATGATGCTGCTCATGAAATCATCGAGACCATTCGGTATGTGACCTCAGCCTCTGGCTCAGTCTTCGTTTACTCCCACATTCACATGATTTTTATCAAGTGTTGGGTTTTGGTGATATACATTTTCCTGTTTTGTTCTAGGTGGGTGTGTGAGGAAATCCCAGACCTCAAACTGGCGATGGAAAATTACGTACTCATTGATTATGACACCAAGAGGTGAGTTTTAGGTTGTGTCCTCTTTAAACTTGGTGTCACTGTAATGGAATTTTTTTTTTTTAAATAAATATGTTTACTAACCATTGTAAAGAGTAAAGAGTAATTATAAATCAATTCCTACTTAGTTAAAGTTATTCTCTCCAGCCTTTGAAGAGGCCTTTTAATATGATAACCACAGCAACCTTTTTTTTTTTACAGTTTAAGTTTTATATGCATGTATGTGTGTGTGTATATATATGTGTGTGTGTGTGT